CGTCGCCGTCGCCGTCGACGTTGGCTTTGGCGTTGGCGTTGGCGTTGGCGTTGGCGTTGGCGTTGATGAGAGTGAGGGAGGAATTGGAGTCGGGGTTGTGCGGCTGTCGATGCGGCACGTCGGCCGAGTAGACTTTGCGAAGTCGGAACATGACGGGCAGGTAGGCGAGGATGGAGAGGCAGATGGCGATGTTGAGTCCGGTGAAGTTGATGGCTTTGACGAGGCTGCCGGCCACGATTGGTCCAAACGCGTAGGCGAGGGAGTAGGAGAAGTCGGCGATGGCGTACACGGAACCGTAGACGGACACGTGTCGGGTGTCCACGAGGTAGGCCATGGTGGGCAGAATGGCGGTGTCGACGAGAGCGATGCCGTAGCAGAGCACGCTGATGGGCAACATGAGAGCGACAAAGTTGGTACAGATGGGCACAAAGAGGCAGCCGACGCCGTCGATGGCCAGTCCGAGCGTGGCCATGAGCCACTGGTGCTGGGGATAGCGAGCCGCCAGAATGACTGTGGTGTAGACGCCGGCGACGTGTGGCACAAAGGCTGGCAACCAGACGAGGCCCATCTGCCAGTTGGTGGCCTGCATCACGTCGGCCATCCAATTGGCGATGGTGGGCTCGAGGAAGGCGAGCGAGACGTTGGAGACGGCGAGGGCGCCGGCGCAGATGACCACCTCCGTGTCCATCAGAAGGTGGTGGATCGGCGTGCCGTGGGGCAGGTTGCCCTCGGCCTTGAGGACGGTGCGCTCGATGCGCACCGGCTTCATGATGGCCATGAGGAGGAAGCCGTCGAGGAGGGCGACGAAGGCGAGCGTGATGAAGGGAAACTCTTTGCCGCAGAACTGGTACAGAATGCCGCCAAACGGCGGCGCGACGAGGCAGCCGAACGAGATGAAGGCGAGCGCGATGCCCAACGCTTTGGTCCGCTCCGCGTCCTCCACGTACCGGTCGGCGATCATCGCCAGACCCGCGGTGTCCGCGAACGCCGAGCCGACGCCCTGCAGGCCACGCGCGATGAACATCACCCCGTACGACTGGCCGAAGGCGAAGATGGACGTCGACACGAAGATCACCATCAGGCCGCACATCATCGGCATGTCGTAGCCGATCCGGTCGATGATGGTGCCCGAGATCGGGTTGAAGAGGAGCTGGACGATCGCTTTGAAGGCGAACAGGGTGCCCACTTTGGCGTCGTCGACGTGGGGCACAGGCAGGCGCAATTGTTTCGCCTCGCCGTTCGCCGTCGCCGCCAACTGCTGCTCCACCAGTCGACTCACGTTGACCCCTTCGGCCACCAACTGAAGCGCGCCCAAGTAGTCTGGAATGATGGGCACTATCACCATGTAGAGCATGTTGTCTAGCAACAGGGCAATGCTGACCACTGTGAGGACCATTTTGCGCTGCGACTGCGGCTGGTCAATCCGTTCTCGGAACGAGGCCCGCGCCGCTGCCAGGCCACCGAGGAACAATTTCATTTTGGTCATCTCCACGGACTCGAACAAGCCCCACCTCGACGCCGACCACGAGCGCGAGCCAAGACGGTGCTTGATCGACTGCGACCAGTCCACCCGTGTCTCTGCCTCTCCCTCTCCTTAGCCCTATATCTATCTATATGTATATATGTGTGTGCGTGCGTGCGTGTGTGTGTGTGTGTGTGTGTGTCAGACGAGCTGGCGGGAGGCTGAGGCCGGCGGGAACTCAGGTTTGCCGACGGAGTGTCGTCGGGCGGCGCCAGTGGTCGTCTCGAGTCGTTCCACCAAACTGGGATAACCGACTCGCCCACCGAGACGAGTTGGACCAACCGATTGTCGCGTCGACGTCGAGACTAAACGAGAGACGGACAGACCCTGAGACAGACGGACAAGCTCACACCGTCTCGTCTGCCCTCGGCCGAAATCGCCTCGACCAGCCAGCCAACCAGCCAGCAGCTACACCCACCCACCCCCCCGCATACATACAAATCAACAATAGACTCAACTCTCCACCTCTTTTGCTCCTCGCCGTTTCGCCGTTTCGCCGTTTCGCCG